TAGCACTTTATGAATGGTTTTATAAATGCTCTGCTTTTGTTTTAATTTTTATGTAAGCCACCCTGATTCTGCTTTGATGGGGAGGGTGGGGTATAAATCAAATAAATAAATAAATGCCTTATTTCTGCCATCTGAGGCTTCCTCCACTGAAGTGCTACTACTCACAAGAGGTCTTTTGCAGATTCTGCCTCCCGCCCACCACCACCGCCTTCTGACATTTTATCCTCCATTAAGGCAGGGCAATATCTGCTTGTTTCCCTGCAGTGAGGTGTCTGCATCATGTTCTCTTTGAGAAATGAGGTGAAAAGAATGACCACAGGGGGACCCGTTCAAGAATACTACAGAGTCACGGAAAGGGCCTCCAAGCTAGATCACAGACATCAGAGACACTTAAATAAAAATAATAAAAATAATATCCTTCCTAAATACTTGTTGCTACCCTGAAACAAATATGCCCAAGTGCTAAAATGAGGAAAAAACCTTAGGCAAAGTCAATGATTATTTTAGTGCATACCCATACATTCTTTGGCTTTCTACAGTGGCGTACCTAGCCTATTTGGTACAGGGCGGATAATTTCTTAACATCCCCTCCTCTTTTTCTTTTTTTGCCATCAAGTCACAGCTGACTTATGGTGACCCTGTAGGGTTTTCAAGACAAGAGACGGTTCAGAGGTGGTTTGCCATGGCCTGCCTCTGCATCAGCCCTCCTTAGCTTCTGAGACCTGACAGGATCAGGCTGGGCTGGGGCTATCCTCTAGTCAACAAAATTATTTTCAGGAATAATCATGAAATAAAATTAATAATAATAATAGCAAGAAAATATATTCAGGTGGGTAGCTGTGTTGGTCTGAAGCAGCAGATCAGAGTTTGGTATTAAAAGTGCCACTGGATCCAAACTTTGTTTCAGTGGCCAGAAAAGAAATGCAGACAGTGAAAATTTCCTTTTATTTAACTTCAGATCTATATAATAACGCCTGTTAAAAAAATAGTTCAAATTCCAACACACTGTTCCTTCATGACAGCCAGAGTGGTGTTAAGTGTTGGACTAGCATCTGGGAAGTCCAGGTTGGAATCCCCACTCATGCCATGAAAGCTTGCTGGGTGGACCTTGGGCCAGTCATATTACTCTCTGCCTAGTCCCGACCTGGATAGCCCCAGGATAGCCTGATCTCAGTCAGATCTCAAAAGCTAAGCAGAGTCAGTGTGGAGTCAGGCAATGGCACACCAACTCTGAACTTCTCTTGCTTTGAAAACCCTACAGGGTCACCATAAGATAGCTGTGACTTGATGGTAAAAATAAATAAATCCCATCACACCACTTGTGTTCTGAGCAGGCACTGGGGAGGGCTTCTCTTCTCCATTTTGAAGCCAAAGAGTTAACCATACCAAACATCTACATTTTTGAGGGCTAGGAGTCTAGTCTGCCTTTGTACTAAATTTTACTAACTGACACTAGCCAAAGAATATTGTACTCTTGATAAGATTTCAGATTGTATTGCAAGAACTGAGAACAATCAGACTCAAACCGACCTGTTAGAAAAATGGTCTCTAATTTTAAACAAACTGTGGTCAGGGTTCCCAGAATATGCATTAATAGTATAAAATGTTTAACCTCTCCTACTAGATTTTACTAACTCCAGGCATTTATATGGGTCAGTTGAAGGGTGCTAATTCTTGTATTCTGTGGTATATAACTAAGAAAAACAACCAAACACTCTTAACTCAATATTGCAAAGTGCTGTGCTGACATGTAAACCGGTAAAAACGTGCACATATATTTCAACACCTGAGTATGATGTTTTATATGCTTTGTAACCTTGCAATATATCTTTCAATAAAACACTCTTTAAAAGCATCACAAAACAGTGATCGCAAGCTTCACCAGACTGGATGTTAAGAAACACACTACCCCCCCCCCCAAAGAAGGTGCCTCCATTCTCCATTGTTTTCAAAGGACTAAAGTTAAACCAGAGACCCTCTGCAGTAGAAACTGAAGGGTGGCATTTTGCAAGCCCAACAGAACCTGTGCAATGTACAGAGTACCCAAAACGTACCACTGCAATCACAGAGTGCCTAGCAGAGCCAAGCGTCATTGTGGCAATGCCAGATGATGTCAAGCAGAGAATCACAGTCCAAGCAAGGGGGGAAAACCCAGCAGAACCAGTGCAATGTACCATGCCCAGCAAACCCAGTGCCTTCTATTCATAGTATTAACAAAGGTTTCTACTATACTGCTCTTAAATACATTCTGTCACCAAGCACAATAGGGATGAGAAAGTCTTGAGGCCAAAAAGTAAAAATGGGGGGGGGGGGGAGCATGGAAAAATTAGGTAAAGGGAGACAGAAATGAATGAGAAACATTTGGAAAAGAGGGAGAGAAATTAAGAGAGGGAAAGGTTGTTTTATCGTGCTGCAACACCCTTAACTACTGCTTTGCAAGATCTGACTGAGCTGGGTGCAAGGAAAAGAAAAGAGACAGGCTAGACTACTGGAGAAAATGACCTGCAGGCTGGCAATTATTGTAGCAGCTATCAGCATGCTGGCTCAGTTGTTGATAAGGAAGTATGCTTCAGTCTTGGAGAAACAGAAGTTTACCCAATCCTAGGGTGCTTTTTGGTGTGCTCAGACTTCCCTGCACCCCTATGGCTGCAGCCAGAACTGCATTTTAAAAATAAAAGGAAAGCCATTTGGCTGGATGCAACATGACATGGGCTTCAAGAGCATTCCTCAAGCTGAGCCCGGGGCGGACGATACCCCCCAGCCCACCCTTGGTATGCCACTGGCTTTCTATAAATTTGTATTGGGGGAAAAATCATTTATCCACTCCTCTAAAAAACTCCAGTTCTTTTTTCCAGGCCCAAGTTGTTCACTTTACTTGAAGATCTCAGACATTTTCAAGTATGTTGTTCCACTGTGTTTTATGGTAAAGATTTCAAAACTGTCTATGGTTTTAAAATTCTCATGCACAAAGCAGACAGAATTTTAATTAATAAAAATGTACCAGTTGGACTTACAAACAGGAAACAACTTTTGTCTAATAATTATGCCATGCACATTCTTTATTAACATGGATGCAAAGGAACAATTTAAATTGGTCAAGAATTCCAAGTGCTCTACAAAGGGTACTTCTTTCCTATTGTCCTGAAACTCTGGGTGAGACCATTTCTGTAGCTATTCATGAGCACAGGAAATGCTGAACAGAAATAAAGAAGCTGGGGCTAAAAGTCACAGACACACCCACCCCACCCAATTTTGCTAAGGGTGTATGATTTCCTGCTATGAAGGTGAGACATTTTATGCATATACTGAGAGGGGTTTTTTTAAATCATTCCTTATATAAATTGAATATATAAATCCAAAAAGGATTTTTTTTTTGAAATTTTCATTCATGTAAACTCTAATCTTGGAAGGAACCAGGCCAGGATCATCCTAGTCTCAACCAAGAACAAATTTTAATGCCACATAACTTGGAAAAAAAGTGAGGGGAAATAAAATGCCAACTCATGAGGTTCTGCTTCATATTGTTTTTAAGGTTGTAAACCTTCCCTAAGGAAACATGAAAAATTATTCATGTAAACTTCTAAAGACTTAAGTGAACTTTTATAAAACATAAATAATGTCTTATCGGGCTGAAAAGATGGTGGCGAAAGTGAAGCTTCAACAAGGAACTGCCAGCTCGACACGTCCGGTTTCTAAACTGGAAGTGAATTTTGACTTTGCAGGCATGCTGGATACTGCATTGTGACCTCTGGTGGCTCAGATGACTAACATCAGCAAAACCTTGGAGACTTTACAAAAACAGCTAAAAGAATCCAATAAAAGAACAGAAGAAGTTGAAAACAAGACTAAAGCAATTGATCAAAGACTGGAAGTTGTGGAAAAAGAAAGATCTTCAGATAAAATTCAACTTTTGTAGCTACAAATGGAAAAATCTTCATACTTGTTGAGATTTCAAGGTGTACCAGAAGACAAATCTGAGAATCTGAAAGAAATCCTTGGTGAACCGCTTGGACCAGTGACAGGCATTAAGGCGGAAGTATTACAAAGTGAAATGGATATGATCTATCAGACATATCCAGAATTTATTAAGAAAAAAAACCTGCCTGGTGAAATATACATCAGAATCTCTAAAGAGATCTATAAGAGATGCAATATTGAAAGCAACGTTTGGGACTACACTGAAAATCAAAGAAGACATCAGAATACTAAAACACATTCCATTTGAAATAAGGAAGAAGATAAAACAATACAAGAATTTAACCACCTATCTACGGGAAAATTCCACTACCTACCGATGGATACTACCTGAAGGCTTGATGTTCAACTACAAAGGGTGGGAAAAAAAGATTGACTCTTTTACCAAAGAAAAGCAGTTTTTGGAAAGACATCAGAAACCCAAAAAGGATATAAAGAGCACAGAGGAGGAAGAAGAAGAAGGAGAACTGGACAGTTCACATGGCTTGGAAAGCCATGAAACATCTGCAGATGGCAGCTCAGAAGTAGAATCTGAATCAGAATTGGGAGTGACAGCTCCCAAACCACCCTGAGACGATAAAAGCAAGAAGAGAGGAGGGAAAGGCAGAAAATAGCTTAAACTTTAGAAGAAATGTTTCTATTACATTACATAGAAGTAGAATCTGAATCAGAATTGGGAGTGACAGCTCCCAAACCACCCTGAGACGATAAAAGCAAGAAGAGAGGAGGGAAAGGCAGAAAATAGCTTAAACTTTAGAAGAAATGTTTCTATTACATTACATAATCTTGCATTGTTAATAACTTTAATTTTTTACATATCGAACTAACATAATAGAATTTTTATTCTTAAATTGAATAAGAGAAAAGCTTTGACAAGCCTATCAATTATTATCATATATGGTCATTGTATAGCTGTAATTTTAGTTAGTGTGTAGTTTGTAGGATTTATGTAGAAAAGAAAAAGAAAAATTATATTAAAAAAGAAAAATTATTCATGTATTCTCAATAAATGGGAAGATTCTTACCTCTGTCATTCAGACTGTTTCTCGTTGCCCTTTCATACTGTTCCTCTTCGCTCAATCCATTAGTGTACGTATTATAGTCTCTCGGTGTGTAGGATGGATAACCAGAATAACTAAAGCCTCCTATACAGATAAAAGAAAATAAAAATTAATCTATGATTCTAGTAGTGAATAATATAGTCAACAAACAACCTTTATTTATTTTATTTTATTTTTTAAATTTATTTTTAGATTTGTATCCCGCCCTCCCAATGGCTCAGGGCAGCTAACATGCTCTCTTTAAAATCCCATTAAAAGAAAATAAGTGTCTTAAGCAAATAAGGTGATGATGAGAGAGAGAGCAACAGATTAGGAGATGGAACAGAGCCCTAGTTTATGGATAATATGGTACTTTGTTTAGGTGGGTAGCCATGTTGGTCTGAAGCAAAAAAACAAAGTTTGAGTCCAATGGCACCTTTAAGACCAATAAAGTTTAATTCTGCGTATAAGCTTTCGTAATAATAATTTATTCTTCAGATAAGAATTCTTAAAATAAGAGTAAATTAATAAAATAACTACATATAAATATGAAATCATAAACTGAATTTGTCAAATACCTACTTTATAATAACCTATGGGTTACAGTGCTAAGAAGGCCAACATATTACAGAACACTATTCCATCTTTCATATTCTAGTTTTTAGACAGAAATATTAATCTTTGCACAAGTGTAGGCTGAAATCTGTAAGAGAGAAATGCACATAAATACCCTATTTGCGTCTATTGCTAAACCAAGCATGAGGAGGTACAGTCAGGCATAGCTATCAGCCAAGTAGGTCTGAAACTGCTACCTAATGGTAAATCAGAAGTGATGTTGTGGCAGCAAGGAGATGAGGACACTGTGGGATGAGGAAGAACCTGAGAGTGGGCAGATCAGGCCTTTTCCTTAGAGGCCGTACAGGGATAGACGGACAGGAAGCAGCAGGGGGGAATAAAATGGCCTGGAGGTCAGGACAGCTGTTGGGACCAATGCTCCCTCTAAGCTGTGGAGTCTTCTGAGCAAAAATTCTACTTTGTGAGCTATTGGCATTAAAGTTGTGAGTGAGCTACTTAGCTACCTCATAAATCAGTTTGCTCTGGAGCCATCCTTCCTGAGCTAAGACAAAAATCTGTGAGCCGGAGGCTAAAAAACTCAGCTTAGAGGGAACACTGGTTGGGACTAAGGACAGAGTAACCCCAGAACAAAGCGTTGGGGGGGGGTTGCCCAAAGGGATCGCTACGTGAATGCACACATAGAAAAGGGTCCACTGAAACTCCTACAAAAGTAAGGATGACACCAGAAGAGGGTGAAATGACTGAGCTTCCAGGAAGACCACCGAACCAGTAAGGTAAGCTGGAGCAAAGAACCAAACAGGGCTTCAGATGACCAGCAGGCAGCATCTGGGGATGTGTTCTTTGAGGCCATGGAGGTGGCTTAAACCCAGCAAAAGTTCAAATATAAAGACTGATCCAGCTAGGCAATATGGTTATAGAAAACCAGTTTTCTGCATGCATATCCCTATCTGTACAGAGAATCACACATGCTGAGTCCACAAGCAAATTCAGCTATTGATTCTGCACTTCCATAGCCTGCTAATTAAAACTGGAATCTCACTGATCAATGGTTTGGAAAAGGATACCACATTCAGCCCTCTCCCCAGCTGATCTGAATACCAGTGCCAGGAGGCAACAACAGATAAAGTCCTTGGCCTCTATGCCCTGTGGCTGGCTCTCCAGAGTAAATGGTTAGCCACTTGAGGCATGGTGCTGGACAAGCATCACTGGTCTGATCCAGCAGGACTTTCCCCTTGTTTTTAACAAAATTCCAACTTATTTTACTAGGCATGTACAATCTCCTTAATCAAGATCTACATCTGTGCATCTGTGATTTCCCCCTTCTCTTTTTTAGCAACTTAAGGTGAATTGCCTGCAAAATGGGGTAGCAGCTATAAAAACAAGCATGAACAGGAATGCACACCCACAGCATACATCTGGGATCAGAAAAGTTCCAGAGCAGGCACACTGGAGTCTATCTAGAATTCCTCTCTTTTCTATTAAAAACACATCATTAGAAGAAGATTTTACAATAGAATAATAAAAGTTATATACCTGAATTGTAGCTGTTTCTTTGTCCTGAAAAGCCAGAGGTAAGACCACCTAACAAGGATAATGTAATTAACATTCATTAGCATTCTTTAAATATTATTTGTCTACTGTATGTTTTCTTCCCCCAAACTGGCTTTTAACATACCTAGTCATGTAAAATCGAACACAAATACAAATTAAAATGCAGTACAAACTGATGCTTGGACAGTGGGTCATCAGCAAGCCAAGGATCAAGGCACAATGGAAGGATGCCTCCTGAGTTTCATCCGCATATTGATGACAACCCAACCTTTTAAATACATTGTATTTTCCCCACACATTTTCAAGCCAGGGATGCAGTTCTTTTGGGCTGAAGTGGACTCTTGATCTCACCATGGAGCCAAGATGATTCAACCTACTTGGGGGAGGAGTCACATTCCTAAAAAGAGAGAGATCTGCCAGTGTAAAAAAAAAAAAAGAACCCCCAATCCCTTCGCTCTTCTGTAAAATGCAAAGACAGTAATGGGTGGGTAGGAGGCAGAAGCCAGAGAAAAGGGGGAGGGGGGAGGCATCAGATCAATTTCTGTATAAATTTCTCCCTGATTTTTCTGTGTGTATATATAAAATGCTGTTTTGCTGATGAACAGCAGTACATACATTTTATAGAAGAAATTCTGCATGAGAAAAACAAAAATTGTATAGAGACTTGCAGGACTCTTATTTGCAGAAGAAAGAAGCAAAACTGAAATGGGGATATTCAAATTCAATCTTGCAAAGTTTTATAGCATCCTTATTTCAGGAACCTCTCACTTGCTTCATTTATTCTTTTGTTCATCTGTTTTCTCCTTTCCCCTCCACTGTTCTCTATCAGTTGTAACAGAGTAATAATATACAATATTCTAATGGATAAAACAAAAATGTCTCAGATTTTTCCAGTATGAGGGAAAATATTTTACATCAAGCAGGGAGGTACCCTCCAGTTAGCAATTGGGACTAAGGAAACTTAACATTGGAATTTTTATGTTTCAGCAATCAACACAAGAGAGTAAGCATAAAATAGCATTTATTTTTAGCAGCAGATATATATCCTGGAGAAGGTGAGAGAAGTATGTGGATGAGACTTTTAGGGACCTATTAATTCCCACTCCTGTGCTGACAACTTTTCTGTTGTCATGGAAATTGAAGGTCTTGAGGTTGGATGGCATCAGGCTAAGGAGGAGAGACATGATCCCTTAGATGGACTTCAAATGACAGACCAACATCCTCTTGCACCAAGTATATCCCTCTGGGTTGGGGGGAGGTGGGCTTTTGACAATGGGTGATTCGACCATCAAATGCTAAAATGTACAGCATTCCTTCTGTCCTGCAGCCTCTATAAAAGAGTAGCTGAAAACAAGATAGCCAGAAAGGAAACTGGGACTAGTGGCCGCTGCCTCATGAATCTCCATGCTCTATGTCAGTTTTGCCTTACGGGCTACTGGCAGTTGCATGGATCTCTTTCACCAGGCTCCTAGGTGGGGGGGAGGGGGGATGCAGTTCCTGTAATCACACTCCTATTGTGCAGTGAAAGGAGGACCAGCACAAAAATCTATCCAAGCAAAATAAGCCAAGAGAAGCGGTGGTGTTTGTATGAGAAGAGGAAAAGCAAGGGTAAGCCACCAAAACAGTTAAGACACTAACTCCTTTGATTATCATCTGCCATGTTGGTATATGGGAACCCAGGCTTTCACATGTATTGCTGAAATGGCTTTTAAACTGACGTATGAAAAACAATAGAGCTCACGGAGGGCTGTGCTTGTAACTCAATTCACTTTTGTTTTAGCCATAAGCTGCAACAAAGCTTATAATTCAGACTTGGGTCACAATAGCACAGCTGATTCACATGCTGTTTATGCAGGGGTGTTTGGTTTTCTTCCATACAACTGACAGATTCCAAATGCAGAACTACATCCCCTACAAAGAAGATCGCATTAAATGAAACCATGTAATAAAAACCCAGTGTTCCGCTAGGTCTGCTTTCTAAAGACAAAGAAATCATTTATTTTGTGATGGATATAGGAACATTGAAAACGCTCCGTTCTACAGGCGATGCCCTCAACAAAGAAAGAGTTCAAGAATTGAAGTGCATGCAGTTTTGAAGGATTCCTGTTTCCTGTCTTTAAAAGAGACTTATAGTATATAAGGGTTTAATGGGAAAACATTGGTAGAAAAAAATTGAAAAGGCGCTTATTGGGTAGAACATCATATAAACACTGGAGAGTTGGAGTACAAATTAAGAAGTAGGGTTAAACTCAAAATTAAACTGTAATGAGGTGATATGATAACCATCTTCAAGTACTTGAAGGGCTATCATAAAGAGGATGCTGCAGAGTTGTTTTCTGTTGCCTCAGAAGGTCGGACCAGAACCAACAGGTTGAAATTAAATCAAAAGAGTTTCTGGCTAAACCTTAGGAAGAATTTCCTGACAGTTATAGCGGTTCCTCAGTGGAACAGGCTTCCTCAGGAGGTGGGAGGCTCTCCTTCTTTGGAGGAGACAACTTAATAGTAGACAACTATTGATAGACAACTTAAAAACTGAAAAATCACCAGGCCCAGATGGCATACATCCGAGAGTTCTGAAAGAACTCAAATGTGAACTTGTAGATCTCCTGACAAAGATATGTAATCTGTCCTTAAAATCTGCCTCCATTCCTGAGGATTGGAAGGTAGCTAATGTCACTCCCATCTTTAAAAAGGGTTCCAGAGGAGATCCGGGAAATTACAGGCCAGTCAGTCTGACGTCGATACCGGGTAAATTGGTGGAAACCATTATTAAGGAAAGAATTAGTAGGCACATAGATGAACAAAACCTATTGAGGCAGACTCAACATGGGTTCTGTAAGGGAAGATCTTGTCTCACTAACCTATTAGTGTTCTTTGAGGGGGTGAACAAACATGTGGACAAGGGGGATCCAATAGATATTATTTACCTTGACTTCCAGAAAGCTTTTGATAAAGTTCCTCATCAAAGGCTCCTAAGTAAGCTCAAAAATCATGGGATAGAAGGACAAGTCCTTTTATGGATCAAAAACTGGCTAGTTCATAGAAAACAGAGAGTGAGTGTAGGTGGGCAATTTTCTCAGTGGAGGGTGGTAAGCAGTGGGGTACCACAGGGATCAGTACTTGGTCCACTGCTTTTTAACTTGTTCATTAATGATTTGGAGATGGGAGTAAGCAGTGAAGTGGCTAAATTTGCGGATGATACAAAGTTGTTCAGGGTGGTGAAAACCAGTGAGGATTGTGAGGCACTCCAAGGGGATCTGTCAAGGATGGGCGAGTGGGCGTCAACATGGCAAATGGGGTTCAATGTGGCCAAGTGCAAGGTGATGCACATTGGAGCCAAAAATCCTAAATATAAATACACATTGATGGGGTCTGAACTGGCAGAGACTGAGCAAGAGAGAGATCTTGGAGTTGTAGTGGATAACTCACTGAAAATGTCGAGACAGTGTGTGACTGCAATAAAGAAGGCCAATGCTATGCTGGGGATTATTAGGAAGGGTATTGAAAACAGATCAGCCAATATAATAATGCCCCTATATAAATCAATGGTGAGACCTCATTTGGAATACTGTGTGCAGTTCTGGGCACCACACCTTAAAAAGGATATTATAGCTTTGGAAAAAGTGCAGAAAAGGGCAACTCGAATGATAAAAGGGTTGGAACACTTTCCCTATGAGGAAAGGTTAAAGCGCTTAGGGCTCTTTAGCTTGGAGAAAAGACGACTGAGGGGTGACATGATCGAGGTTTATAAGATTATGCATGGGAAAGAGCAGGTAAAGAAAGAGGTACTTTTCTCCCTTTCTCACAATACAAGAACTCGTGGGCACTCCATGAAACTGCAGAGCGGTCGGGTTAGAACGGATAAAAGGAAGTACTTCTTCACCCAAAGAGTGATTAACACATGGAATTCACTGCCACAGGAAGTGGTGGGTGCTACAAGCATGGACGGCTTCAAAAGGGAATTAGATAAGCATATGGAGCAGAGGTCCATCAGTGGCTATTAGCCACAAGGTATAGCTAGGGGCTCTGGGGCAAGTGATGCTCTGTCTTCTTGGTGCTTGGGGGGGGGGGTCAACAGTGGGAGGGCTTCTAATGTCCTGGCCCCACTGGTGGACCTCCTGATGGCACTGGTATTTCTGGCCACTGTGTGACACAGAGTGTTGGACTGGATGGGCCTTTGGCCTGATCCAACATTGGCGTCTCTTATGTTCTTATGTTTCTAAACAGAGGCTAGATGGCCATCTGACAGCAATGCTGATTTTGTGAACCTAGGCAGTTTGAGACGGAGCAGGAAGGGTTGCATCAGTGCTTAGTTCTTGTGGCCCTTTCTTACATATCCAGGGAAATGCGGATTGCTACTTTGAGGTCAGGAAGCAATTTTTCTCCAGACCAGTCTGGCCAGGGATCCTGGTTTTTTGCCATCTTCTGGGCATGGAACATGGGTCACTGGGGGTGTGGAGGGGAGGTATTTGTGAATTTCCCACACTGTGCAGGGGTTTGGACTAGATGACCCTGGAGGTCCCTACCAACTCTATGATTCTATGTGAATTCTTCCTTACTGTCAGGATAATCATTCTGTACCTGCACATGCTTCCATGATGGTCTTCAGAGGTCCTTTGGTATACATCAACCCAACAAGAATACCCGCCAGGTGTCCTGCAAAAGAGCTCCTAAAAGGAAATAAATCCTCTGTGAGGTGTATTGCTCCTGATTAGATACATTCTGTACCCTCATTATTCCAATGCACACCAATTAGTCACAGTTTGCAGCCTCTTTTCCACTGGATGCATTAGACTGTGAAGAGTTCACTATAACCAAAGGAACAGCAAGTACCCCAATGCCCCCAAACCATTTGGGAAATAACAATGATTTGTAAAAGCACAATGTATAAGGATTATTTATGATCCAACAGGTCTCTTGTGGTTTATTAACTTGCAGAGTCGTATCTGAAAACAAAATCCATTCTCCCACTGCTGATACAGAGGAATCAGACTGATCATTTTGCTTCTGTTTAAAGACATCTAAGACCACAGGGTCTTTCATCAACAATTCAGGACTTTCAGGCAACTCATGGAGCTCTTCCTTCTAGTTCATGGGCCCTTGTAGAGTGGCTATAATTCTGCTGTTTTTTGAAAGGCCTGTTGCAAATATATATATGTGTGTACAAAGTACAGATGCTGTATTTCCTGTCTCTACTACATTCACTTCATTCATTCCTTTTCATGTTTGCCTTTCTTATAGAGACTTGAGGCACATTACAGAGTTATAAAAGATAATGCAAAAACAGCTTACTAAATATAATGAACCATGCAATAGAACTGGATTACACAAGAACTATGAAATAAAACAGTATAATCTGTTGCAGAACCTGGATTTCACCATTAGAGAAATGTCTATGCTGTCCTTTGTCCAAGCAGCTCAGGGTGATGTAGATGGTTTTTCCTTCCCCATTTTGTCCTCATAACAGCTCTGTGAAGTAGGTTGGGTAGAGGGAGTTGTGATTGGCCTGAAGTTACTTAGAAAGGTTCATGGCAGTGTGGAGATCTGAACTTGTAATGCCCAGATCCTAGTCCAGCACTCTTAACCATTACCCTGCACTGGCTCTCTCCTTGCATGAACATGGAGAGCAGCAACATGATGATGAATAAAGGTCACTTAAGGAGCAACCCCAAGAAGTCTATTCATAAGGGTCCTATTTTATGCTGTGGGGCTTACTCCCAGGAAAGTGTTTTTAGGATTGCAGTTTAAGTAGTGGACAGGAGTTATCTTTAGCACAGGCAGATTCAGATACTCCCCCTGGCATCTGCAAAAGCCACCCCTAGCCTTCTCTCTCTTTCTCTCTCTTGCAACACAAAGCCCCCCCTCCTCGTGAACCCTCCCCCCCCCCACTCTCTACCTGGCCACCACTCTCTGCACCTGTCAGGCCTCCAATATTCTATCACAAATAAGTTCCACCAAGTTCAGTGGGCCTTATTTCTGAAGTAAGTGCACAGTCTTGTAGTTGTACCTATCACCACTGAGGCTGGCAACTTAAAATCAGAAGAGCCACGGGGGGGGGGGGGGGTGCATACTCCCCCCAGCTTTGCCACTGGTGCCCTCCTCAGCCCAAACCTTGCCTACTTCCTGTGGCTTCAGGTTAAAAGGGGAGATAGCTTTAAATGACCTGAGCCCTCCTTTTGCCAATCCTGTCCTGCACTGCCTGGAGCAGATCTCGCAGAGACTAGTCTGACACTCTTACCAGTACACTACATAGGCTCACATTGTCTTTAAGAAAGCAGTTGCAATTAGTAATCAGGGAAGCATTTTTGTTTCTATGTGATATTGAAAATGGTTGGAGTTTGCCCATTATTTATTTATTAATTTATTAGAAACAGTATAAAACATGTAATAAGACTGGAATACAATGCCAGGGGGGAAATCAATGCAATAAAAGCATCAGACATGATATAAAAATGCAAAAACCGGATTACAGAAATTAGGAAACAATGCTGTAAAATGAAAAACACACACAGAGTAAAGAGTGCCATTAGGTACAGCCCTTGTCCCTTTGTAAAAGTGTCCTCTTGAACAATTTCATTTTAGTACAGGCCTATTTCCTTTATAAAACATCTCCTTTTGTACATTCTGCAGAATAACAGAAGTACGGGAACCTTCCTGATCTCCTCAGGGAAACCATTCCACAAAATTTTACAAATTTTATTTAAGGTTTTACTCAATGTATACTACAATGCATGTCATACATATGTATAATAGAAGATAAAACACGGATTTACTGATGAACAAATAGTGTTTGTTGGAAAATGTGTAGATTTTATGGGGAAAATTCAGTGTGACTAAACACAAAAATAGACTCCTTGGTCCAATTCGCACAAGAGAAAAGTGTAATCAGCACAGGGAACACACACCAAACCAGTAAGTTTGCAACCTTTGATAGCTTCCCTAGCTCTGTGGGTAAGTTAACCCACCTAAACAATACATTTGATTTTTTTTCTGCCAGATTACTGAGTAAAACATACTCCTAAAATCACTTATGAATACACCTGTAGTCAGACCTCCCTAAGAAGGTCTATTATCAGGGGAAGAAAGAGGAGGACAAAAAACTTAACCCCCCAAAATGGATTAAGAACCTGAATGGTTAAATGAATACAAATTAGGAGGCTCAATGTTAAAATCAGTAAATATATAACACAAATGTTACAAATTATCAAAAATATATATTTTTACTACAAATTAGTTTAAAACCAATTCTAGGCACATATATAAAGGTTTCCCTTGCTTGAGAGCTAGTTGAATCTGACTCTAGGGGGGCCCGATGCTCATCTCGGTTTCCAAGCCAAAGAGCCAGCACTGTCCGAAGACATTTCCGTGGTCATGTAGCTGGCATGACTAAACGCCGAGGTGCACGAAACACTGTTACCTTCCCACCGAAGTGGTACCTATTTATCTACTTGCAATTTCTTGCTTTCGAACTGCTAAGTTGGCAGGAGCTGGGGCCAGAGATGGGAGCTCACTCCATCATGCGGCACTAGGGTCTCGAACTGCCAAACTACAGACCTTCTGGTCTGCAGCTTCAGCGTCTTGATCTCTGAGCCACTGCAGCCCAGGCCCAAATATAGCCTCAAATAAAATTACAAATCATACAGTGTACACAATAGGGACCTTATGAGACCCATAAACTGACTCGTTTTGGCCTATATCTTCTCCTTGTGTCACTGATATTTATCAGAAGTCATACAACATTATACAATTTTTAATATATTCCCTTGTTCATGATTGTACCATTCGATATTACATGAAATTTGATAATGAAAAGTTTCATTTTTCTTCACTTTTAGCACAATTTTCGCTTGGCCCTATATGGATTAATAGTATTGCAATAGTTGAGCCAATGTGTAACATTTATGCTTGACCACTGAAGCAGACCAATAGGCCGAAATGCATCTGTTTATGGGTCACATAAGGTCCCTTTTGTGCACATTATATGATTTGTAATTTTATTTGAGGCTATATTTGGACTTAGAATTATTTTTAAACTAATCTGTAATAAATGCATGAATTTTTGATCATTTGTAATATTTATGTTGTATGTGTATTGATTTTAACATTGGGCCCCCTAATTTGTATTCTATTATCAGGCGAGACACTGCCTCTTTCCTGAACATTCCCAGTGACTTCTTTTATTGGGCTTGTTGAAGGGTGGAAACTGAAAGTGTACATTCTCAGACTACATATCTATTTTCTACGAGTTACATCTGGTAAGGTTCAAACAGTTCTGATTATGATGGAGTCTTACTACGATATAGTCTGAGAGACTCTCTTGCTTAACATTGACTATGTTGATGTTTACTCGTTTTTGTTTTACTTTGTTCCAAAAGGCCAGATTGGGTAAGGTGTGTTTTAAAAAGAGAGGGTGATGAAAGAATATGACAGGGCACTCATAGTAAAAAAATGCACCAGTTGAAAGAGAATGCAAAGCTAAACTTTTGCATGAAGGTTTCCTTGGAAAAAACCTCATGGTAGTTACAGCTGATTTCACAATGCATGTTCTTTATTGCTAAAATAGAACTTTAGAAAGTTGATTGTGTAATGAGTATAATATGGAGGAGACAGTATTTCAGTGAGAAGCAGAATCACACAAGATTGATTTAAGATTGTACTATATATAAAACTCTGCTGTGTCTTTTTAAAAAAATAACTGTGCTATTTCTAGCTATTTTGTAATAAATCTCAACACTGAAGAAGAATTTGCCGTCCAAGTTGAGCTACAAGTACTGCACCATTCTTGATGAGTATGACCCTTTCTTCATTTACAATTGGGAGCATCGAAAGGGAGGGACGTACAAGCCACCAGGAAAATGGTCATTTGGTGCACCATATCGCATATCTCTAAAAATTAATTAAAACATTCGAGTCCTTCAACAGTCATGTAACATCTATATATCTAATTCCCAAGGCGCCCCCTTTGTGCGGATATCTAAATCCACACATCAGGGGGACCTGGGAGGCAGGGAGATTTTCCTGCGCACGTGGGGCAATGCCCAGGTGTGCAGAAAAATCTAAAACTGTAAAAAAATATACGGGGGATAATTAAATCCACAAAAAAGTAAAAGAGCATCCCCTGCACATGCGCACAGAATGCTCTTAGAACAGCTTCGCCGCCACCACCACCAGAGAGGGGGAGGGGGAGGGATGTGGGGAGAAGGCTTGGCCGGCCGGTGACTGTAAGCCACTCAGCCCTCGTCACCGCCGGGGGGGGGGAGAAAGTTCGGCGCACCGGCGAGGCCTCACCACCGCCGGGGGAGGGGGAAAGTTTGGTGGGCCAGCGAGGCCTTGCTGCTGCTGCCACTGAGGGGGAAGGAGACAGCTTGGCAGGCCGGCGAAGCCTCGCTGCCACAGCCGGGAGGGAGAAAGTTCGCAGGCCAGCAAGGCCTTGCCGCCGCCGCCGCTAGGAAAGGAGGGAAGCTTGGAGGGGCGCAGGCCTCGCCGTGGGTGCTGGGGGGGGGAGAAGGTTCACTTGCGGCTGCTTCCTTTTCCTGTGGAGCTTCTCCTCCCCCGTCTGCGAGTATTGTGGGTTCCCCTTCTTGTTAAGAAATTATTTTCAGAACAACCCTTTCTCAAAAGCATTGCCATGCCATAGAAAAATGATATTAGCCGCATTCCTTAATTTATTGAAGTGGTAACTACTATGGCCACTTTATATCCCGAATACGTGGAACATCAGCAGTTGTTACATGATCAGTCATCATGGATTTCTGCCTCCTATCCTATCAGGCTATTACCCAATACTGACAGGCATCATTCTTTGTACAATTTCCATCCTGCTGCATGCTTAAGGCTTGGGGCAGGTTACAACTATTCCTAAACAAGGTGATTCCAATTAATAAACCAACCAGATAGTATTAAAATTCCAGCAAGCATCCTTATAATAGTGCACAAGTTAGAGCAAAGGTGTCAAACTCATTTGTTACGAGGGCTGAATCTGACATAAATGTCACTTGGTCAGGCTGAGCCATGTGTGCCATAAAATGTAATACAAGGTACCAGAGAAATAAACTTTATAAAGATAATTTCAGATGCCGAATGGCAATAGCAGGCATGATTGGATTAGGTGTGATATGCAGAGGGGGAGAGATATCAGCATTGGTAATGAGACAGGAAACCTAGGGAGTCTGCTGCCAACTGCAGCTCGAAATAATAATGAAGAGGGAGGGGAGGGTCCCTGTCCCTCCCGTCCCTCTCTCTTCTTCTCATTCCTGGATCACTGCGCTCTGCAGAGCACCTGTGAAACACATCCTGCTCAAGCAGCAGGGACGGTGAGAATGGGATGTTCCCAGGGGACAGGCCCTTCCCCTTCCTGGATTGATCTGAGGAAACTGATCCTGTTCCGGAGGAGAAGCCTATTCCCAGAAGTAAGGGCTGTCCCACTCCCAGTACCACCAGAGAAGGTGCAATTTAACCCTTCAAGCCCTACTTGGTTTCACTAACTGAAATAGTGCTCTGCACTGTTAATAGCATTTTGTAGGGAA